TCTGCCTTTAAGGACAGTTTATAAAACAAAACAAAAATCCAGACATAACTCATTTTAGCCTACAAATGTCACCCAGTAATGCTAACCTTAACATTTTGTTACATCAGATTGCCAGATATGCATGTACACAGAAGTGTCATAGAAAACAGCCAATAAGATTAGTCTCAGGATTTTGAATTACAACGCAGGATGGAAAGCAAAACAAACTACAGTATATTTCCTTGTAAGAGATATAGCCACAGGCACTGCTGCTGTAAGTCAATTGAGAACAAATTTTAAAACTGATGCTATCACACTTTGTATCCAAATAACCTATAATCAAAGTAAGTTGGAAATAAGTTATTCAATCTAACTTGCACTTTGTTATTTTCATAAGCTATCCAATGAATTTCCTAACTTCCTTCCTGCTATAAAAATGCATCTGAGTTTAGACTCCTTGAAGAGCACAGATTATATACACTGCTAAGATTCATTATAGACAAGAGCTAAGTTCCTGCTACATGCCTAATATTCAACTTGATTTTTAATGCCCTTTACCCTTTTTTTGGAAAGATTTATTTGATTTTATTGTAAATGCAGATCTACAGACAGAAGGAGATAAAGAGAGAAAGAATGCATTCGCTAATTCACTCCTCACGTGGTTTCAATAGACAGAACTAAACCAATTTGAAGCCAGGAGCCAGGAGCTTCTTTTGGGTCTCCTCTGCAGGTTCAGGCTACCAAGGCTTTGGGCCATCCTCTACTGCTTTCATAGGCCGTAAGCAGGGAGCTGGATGGGAAGTGGTAAAGAACCTTGGTGTTTTCTGCTTTTGTGATTTCTGCCTTGCTTGCTTGGCTGAGGAACTGTAAACTCCAGGCCTGACAGTCCACGTGACACCTGGCAGGTCACATACGCAGAGCACTCCTCAGGAAAGAGGCTCCTGCTGTACTTTTTAGATAAGACTTGCTCACTACCCTGTAGTCCATCAGTTTGTACGTTTTGAAAGTTGCTTGCTTCAAACACACCAATAGAAACTGCCAACTTGCTCTTTTTAAAAGTTAACAGTTAAACTGATCAATCATGACTATGGAATTGGCCTGAAATGTATAAAAACCCTGTGCTGTCCAACCTCAGCCCTTTTTTTCCTGCCCCTTCTGCTGCTGCTGCGGCTGCTGTCACAGTGGTTGCCGATGCTCCCCATCCCGCTGGGCTGGGTGATGGCTGGGAGCCTAGGCTGGCTTGAATAAACCGCCCTTATGCGTTTGCATCGACTTCAGACTCCTGATGACTTTCTGGAGATCTCAAAATCTGAGTATAGCAGTGGAGCAGCCAGGACATGAACTGGTGCCCATATGGGATATTAGAATGTGCAAGGCGAGGTTTTAGCCACTAGGCTATCATGTTGGGCCCTTTCTTTACCTTTCTGTTACTGATCAAGTTTTCTCAAATGAAAACCTGAATCTTTTCTAAAATGCCAAAATGCTAGAGGGATATTTTTTCTAACAGGAAGATCAGTCAAACTCTCTCTCTCTTTTGTCCCTGGTGCAGATAGTTCAAATTCAAGATCCCTGTTGATTTCCTGTATCAGTTAATGAGAATTTCTGCAACAGTTAAGACAGCTGAGCCTCTGCTATTTTCTAGGCACAGTGAAGTTCAGAGAAACGAAGAGGACAGGGTCGCTGACTTGAACAAATAAAACTATCAGGCAGAAAAGTGCAATCCATGCCCAAGTTATTAGGCACCTGGAGGAATAATGAGACCACCCTGCCAGGCAGATTTAAGAGAATGTGCCGCATGGAGGATGCGGCAGGCCACTGGGCCTGCAGAGGACATCTGGTAGCATAGCAGAAGAAGGAGAAAGGAACAGGTTGGACAATTACCCTAGCCAAACAATGACAGCAAAAATGTAATTGAATGGAGACTGTAAGGTTGACTGCGTCAGCCAACAGACATTGGAGGAGATTACTCATCTTCGGATTGGCAAAACCAAGAACATTTAAGAACTATCCAAACCACCGGCACAGAATCCTTGGTGTGTGTGCCACATCAGGACCCTGGGTTGATACTGGGTGGCTGTTTCCCACCCTGGCTGTGGCTCCTCCTCTCACCTCTTCCCTTCCCCCTGAAACGCGAAGAAGAAATAGAAAATGTGGAAGCAATCACACCTACTTTTTCCTAACCCTTGATCCTTCCCACCCCATCAACTATGTAAAAATCATTAAATAAACAAACAAACAAACAAACGGATTGCCTGAGGCAGCACGTGGGAGGGGCATGGATGACTGACTTCCTCCTGCTGAGAAGCCAGGGCAGCGGAAGGGCATCCTAACGCAGACGGGGTGGTGATGGTGTTCAATGTGGGGGGAGTGTGTTTCAGCATGTGAACTCACAGATGTTCTTGTAAATACAAAAGCTTTATAAACTCAGAGCTGAAAATTCCCACCCTTTCCTGCTCACCTTTTAGGATTTAACTTTCAGTCCTTTGTAAATTACCTGTTGTCTGGCTTCTTGTTGGAGCATCAGATAAAAGTAGTTTAATAATACACTGCTTTTTGGTTGGGCTAGAGGTAAAAGCATAAGCTATAAGTAAAAGGCGCGTTTAGGCCAGTGCTTTCAACAACCAACAGAAAGCCTGAAGAATGCCTATGCTGACATCAGTCACTGCAAGCCTCACCTCATTAATCCAATGGGCAAATGTTTACTGAGCATGTCTTATGTTCTAGGCAGTGATCTGACGGTGAGTTTACAATCATAATTAGGGTCACCTCTTCTTCAATATCAACTCCTCCGAGAGTCCAACATCTATGTTTATTTTCCTCTTTATCCCAGACAGCTAGTAACAGTCGAGTCTATTTCACTTCAGCAATTCACTGGGCTCACTTTGTCACTTAGAACTACTTCACTTCTAAACTAGGAATTGGAAATTGCTACCCAACCACAACTTCTCATTCTGTCTATTACTTCCTCCAAACCATGGGCTCCCAGGATCAGGTCACAAAGTATCCTTCCACACCTACTCAGAGGCTGCCTGTTTCAGCCACATCTTTAGCAGTTCCCTAAATTCCTTAAAGCACTGCTTCTTTTTGTTGGTTTAGTTTTCTGCACAATGCTTTAGGCAACTGCTAGCTGTAGGCAAGCTCCATCACCTGTGACTCCAGGAGGGTGGAAGAGGTGTGGGCAGCACGGACTCTGCAGGTCACGTTACCCAGCTTTGCTGTGGCCAAGCCTCCGGACCCCACAACACCGATGCCAAACCCTCACTGCTTTTTTCAATCCGTTTGCTTTACTGAGACAATGTCACTCTACAATATGTGCTTCGGCTCTTCCCACAATCTCTCTGTTCCATATCACCTCTTCCAGACTGACCTCCCTACTGTTCTCAAATCCCATTTTCCAACCTGTCCTTGTCTCATGTTAACCTTCTGTTTCCCAGTTCTTGTCCCAAAGCCTGATTACTTGTTTATAAAAGCACGGTCATGCTCTCCATTTCAAGCTACCGTTCTTTGCTTCTCTGCCAAATCAGCTCTTGTAGCTCTTATCTCCAGCCCCTAAAAACAAGTGTGTAGTACACAGCTGACTCAACAGAGACTGAATGATGACTGAACACGTCCTTCCCAACGTGACTTCCATCACTATTGCTCCACTGAGGACATTTGCTGACCTTAAAACCTCCAGATCCAATTTTCTCACGTCTACACGCAACTGTTACCTTCTTGCTTGGCATTTTCCTTTAATGGCTTTTTATCACATTCCTCTACCATCTCTTCCTTTTTCCGCTTGCTAAATAAAGGCTACTACTCCACCATCCAAGTTCTGTGACTGGCTCTCTCTTCATTCACTTTACATTTATTAGCTTCATTTTCTCAACTGTGGCTTCAATGCGCATGACCCGAAAGCTCTTCAGCGCAGTCCCTTGCCAGAGTTTCAATCTCACACCTTGGCTGTGTCCCCTCAGTAATCCACCTGGCCGACCCTCCAATGGAAGGTTTCTCCCAGGCCTTCAACAACGAGCTGGATCAGCAGCAGAGCAGCTGGAACCTGAACTGATGCCCACACAGGATGCCAGCATTGCAGGCGGTAGTTTTAGCTGTAATGCCACAATGCTGGCCCTTCAGGGAAGTTTTCAGAGCTCAGCTCTAAGGCACCCCCACCCCCTTCGAGATCCTCTGTAGAGATGTTCTCAGTTTTCTTAGGAATTTTGCATGTCTTTAGGAAAGATACAGGTTACTAAATTTAAATTTGCTTTTCTCTTTTTTTTTTTTTAAACACTTCTTTTTTTTAAGATTTATTTTTATTATTTTTTTTTATTAGAAAGGCGGATATACAGAGAGGAGAGACAGAGAGGAAGATCTTCCGTCCGATGATTCACTCCCTAAGTGAGCGAAACGGCCGATACTATGCTGACCCGAAGCCAGGAGCCTCTTCCGGGTCTCCCACGCGGGTGCAGGGTCCCAAAGCTTTGGGCCGTCCTCGGCTGCCTTCCCGGGCCACAGGCAGGGAGCTGGGTGGGAAGCGGGGCTGCCGGGATTAGAACTGGCGCCCATATGGGATCCCAGCGTGTGCAAGGCGAGGACCTTAACCACTGCGCCACTGCGCCACCGCGCCGGGCCCAAATTTGCTTTTCTCTTATGAATGTTTGTCAGAAGGCCTAGGCAAGGCTCTGGAAAAATGGAAGAGAAAATTATTCTCTCTCCATACAAGTAAATAAACGAAGCCTCAGCATTTATGTCTGAAAGTTTCCGATTTCTACTTCAGACTGATGAAAAACACAGACTTACCTCACTTCCCATCTGTCTGGGATTTGGAATAAAGCATTCTGATTAAAAGAAAAAACTGCTCTGTCCCTTATCTGTCCTGGCTTCTACACTACAATTCAATTACTGTGGGGTAAAGGGATTAAATAAATGTTTGCAAAAACAATTCTGAACATAACCAACTTACTCGTTATGTATTAGATCTTGTCAGTGTCATTTTAAAGTGACCAGTGATGGAATGCACGCCGCAGTCTGAAGGCCCTTACCTGCACAAGCGTGTCCAGTGTGAAGATGTGTTCCCCACGCACATTGTAGAACTTGACCATGGCACTCTTCAGAAGGGGCCCATTGGGGAGCTCGCCAAGCTGGGGCTGCCGCTCCATCCCAGCGACTGCCAGCAAGTCTCCCTGTGTGCACCACTGGGCCACCACCTCTGAAAGTACAGAAGACACCATCAGTGTGAGGCCACGGCCTCGCTCTGCCACTCAGCAGCACCATCACTCGTCTGCAAGTGTTCAAGAAACAGAGATGCCCAAGCAAACCCAGCTGGGCTCTCTCTGTTCGCTCATGGAGATAACCAAGACTGTCTCTGTATACAGGCTCTGTTAAAAACCAGTGTCTGTTTGGGTCAAAGTCAGGCAGCAACTCAGGCATAACAAAGCAGAATGTTAAGTATCTCTCTGGTACCAACATTTCCATAATGAGACTTACAGAACACTTTCTCTAAGGCAAGTACGGGAATAAACGGTGGACCTGTATGCCACCTAAGTGCTCTCCTACCGCTGTGTCTTCTGCTTGTGGAGATGACTCCCAGAGTTTACAAAGGCTCAAAGTAAACAAGTGAACCAATGGCAAAGCTCATATTTACGCTTGATAAACATTCCCACTTGGTGGTCATATTGTCTGAAAAATTTTTACCCTGGACATGCAATACCTACCCACAAACCACTCAATGCCTGTAACAGGGAGTTTTAAATGGTTTGTTGTATTCCTATGTGAGCAATTATTTCCTTTTTTTCTGAATAACCAAAATTATTGGTACTTCCAAGTTTTAGAACACACACACACACACACACACACACACACACACACACACACACACACAATCTATCTACCATCTAACTATCTAATCTCCACAGCCCTGCTTCGATAACACAGAAAGTGTGACACCTAGAACAAGGTGGCTCACTCTGTGGAGCAGCTGGCCAGGACCAAAAGGGATCTTGCCACAAAGCCGCGTCAGGGCTCCCTCAGGTTGCAGTCATCACGTCACCCCTCCTACTCACAGCCAGTGATGACTGAGACACTAACACACGGGCCTCCTGCCACAATGACATTCCCTGGGACCTGTCTGTGCACCGAGCTTCCCTTTACATTAGCCACAGAGCAGTCATAGGGAGGGCTGAGAGAAGCAGTGAGACACAAAGTAGGAAAAAAATCTTCTAGCTATCCAAAGAAGTGAAGCATACACACAGGGGGCTTTGTCAATTTTTAAACAAAAGATATGGATGAAGTTCTAATAAAAAGACATGAATGAAGTTATATATAAGCCAGGGAATGAAAAATAATAGGAAAGAGTCAAGTAAACGCCCTGGAGAACACGATCTCTCAGAGGACGGGAGAAGCAGCTGGAGGACTTGCGTGGATCTTAGCAGGTGCTCTGTGGGGTCAACGCCTGGATCCCTGTCGCTGCCACCCTGCTCGAGAACGTGAGGCTGCCGTTCTCTAACCCCAATCCCAGCCTTCTCCCAACACTAACACACAGCAGCACTGGAGGCTCCAGGAAGCTGAAACAAGAAGCCACATAATTCCCTACAAACACATTTGAAACAGCACAAATGGAAGGATTTGCTCCTCTCAGAGTGTGTGTGTGCTGGGGCCGGGCTGCAGGCAGGTGTGACAGATGGGGTAGTTCTGAGCCACTGAGCTGGAGCAGCAGACCATGTCAGTGCCTGTAGACGGATGGCCAGTCCTCAGTGACAGCAGCTGGTTGTACTGAGCAGGTCTGGCTAGCTACTCTGCTCTGCATTCATATATGTAGGTCCCCTCTAACATTAAGGACAAGAAGCAGCTGAGGAAACTGAATTTTAACATCTTCTAATATAGCACCAGTCAACCCTGAAGAGACAGACTGTCTTCCCAAAGAACTCACCCAGGGACATAACATCAACAGCCGTCTCACATGGTAAAACTGACTCCAAACACCCGAGTCCACTGTTGCCTCTTAAGGTGACACTGCAAAACATCTACCGGGAAGATGGCAGCCCCGACTGCTGCCTTCACGTCAGTCCCTCTGCACCTGCACAGACCTTTCGAGGCAGCTGTACACATGAGGACTGTTCCTTAATAAGCCTGCCAGACTCTTCAAGACAACAGGCTGCTGTGGAAATGATGTCCCGTGCACCACCTGCTGCCTCAGGAGTGGCAGGTGCTGCCTTTTGCTTGGCGTGCTGACACAAGGCAAGCCAGCTGCAAACACCTGCATACCTGATTATCTGGTACCATTCATGCCACAGTGAGGAAAAGAAGCTAAGACAAAGACAAAGTCAGGAAATCCTTTACGGTATCAGACCAGATAAGCAGGGGAGCTAAAGCGTGTCCTTCAAACGGCCTCCATGAGGTGCAGAGGAGGTTACTGCTGCAGAAAGACACCATTCAGCACTGGGTGTGCAACACCAGCTTGGGTCATGGGCAACATTTCGTACCTTTCAGCCCTGAGCGGATGACAGTAGGCGACAAGTCATCGTAGTTATTCATCAAGCTGATGTCCCCCGAGCTGAAGCTGACAGTAAGCAGAGGTTTGATGTTCTGTACTGGGATGGGGTATGCTGCGGGGCCATCTGTGAACACAAACAAGCGACAAGTGAAAAACAGGCAACCAGCACCCACGCAGGTCCAAGTTCCAATGGGGCATCTCTGTAAGACTCCAACTTTACAGTAAAGGCTAAAATTGGGCGTGGCTCATAAAAGCAGTGTGTGGCATGGCAAATAATTCAGGCCAGTGGAAGGAAACTTCTTGCTTTTTAAGTCCCAGTACTTGCCCAGATGTTATGGAAGTGGCCAGGAAGGACCGTGCAATGGTTTTTCCATGTATAGTTTCAAACAGTGAGTACTTCTTCCATGTCCTGGCGAGCCAGGGTTTTCAGCTCACGCTGAGACCTTCTGCAGCAGCCACTGGGGTGGCCCTGACACTTGCCTGCACAGGAACCCCAGGATTGCTCTCCACTGCTTCACACTACAGTACTATTCTATACCAACCTCCTTGCTCAAATTACCTAGGCCATCAACCAATAACCTATTACTCCCGAATGGGAGAGGCCTAGCATCCTCTGAATTACCCCATGGCTGCCGAGAAGAGGATGGAGATCTGTTCTGAGATCTGGACTTGCTTTATTATTTATCTGCAGACTTTTCTCTTCCTGTCCTAAAACAGGGATGAGTCTACCTGAATTCAAGGTACTTAAGAGGAGTTCCATTTTATAAACCTACCAAATCTGTGCTGTAAAGACACAGACTTCATTACGACACCAGCACCTTCATTCAACACCATCACCTCACTCAAGGCTAGTGCCCTATTGTAGGAAGGGGAAATTTCCTCCCAGAAGGATTCAGAGATGGCAGGAATGCTCCCTCCTAAGACCCTCTGGTTCTGCAGTGCTACATCAATCTTGGTTTCTTTTTCACAGTAAGCAACACGTCTACACACAGAGATGCACACCTGGGCAACATAACACAGACACACAGAGGCACACACTTGGGCAACATAGCATACAAAAATAAAGAGGCACACACCTGGGCAACATAACACACACACACACCTGGGCAACATAATACACACAACCACACACCTGAGCAACATAACACACACACACCTGGACAATGTAACACACACACATACATACCTGGGCAGCATAACATTAACACAAACACACACACACCCCTGGGCAACATAATACACACAACCACACACTTGAGCAACATAACACACACACACACCTGGGCAGCATAACATTAACACACACACACACACACACACACACACACTCACACCTGGACAACATAACACACACACATCCTCGGCAATGTAACACACACACCTGAGCAACATAACACACTGTCTCTCTCTTACAGAGGGGGTCTTGTTGGAGACAGCTACTGCTGGGGCGGGACGAGGAACGCTTTCACTTTTCCCTGGGTCTGCCCTTCATAGGACAGGACAACATGGGACTTGGTGACAGGAACATGAGGAACCTCCAGGAAGTGGCCTGCTACTGTTAAGGCCACCCCACAGTGGGAACATGGCCATGCAGGTCAGACAGAAGCCTACTTCAGTGTCATTACTTCTGACCAAAGAACCATTCCCTTCCACCAGTCGATAACATAGTTTATTGTAAAAAAGGAAAGAACAAATAAACAGCAGGCAGTGTAGGGGAAGAGCATGTGGGTGGTGGGCCCACACAGCAGCCACTGGAGAGCCTCATCTGTGGAGATGATCAATGTCAAGAGCCAAGGGGCCCTATGCTTTTCTTACAGTCTCCTATTCATTTGTGGGTAACACACACTGGGGTGAAGGAGCTAGGAGGAGCATCAAACATCACAGAGGGGCAGTTGGTACCTGTGAACTGAGAAGGGAGAGCGAGTTTGCCTGAGATAAGGTACACATGGGTGTGCAGAGGCAGCCTAAGAGCTGGCCTTCATTACAGCTGAACTAATCCTCTCCTCTTGCCGCTCATGTTACATGCTTTAATACCATTAGGGACTTGGCTACATTAATAGCCAGCATTTTTCATCCTCATTTCACTTAATTCTCCCTCAGGGACACAGGAAGAGCCCTATCTTGCTGTGCATATAGGAATGCCTCAACCAGTGGGTAATGGACCTGGAGAAGCAATGGCACAGGAGACAGAGATGAGGCCAGTGCTGCCTGCATTGCATCCCAGAATCCTTCCCAGCAAGTCAACACGCCAGGCCTGGAATGGATCTTCACTCTTCCTTCTCCGAGCCAGCTGGTTCTCTTTTGAAACTCTTTTGTCCCCTTCTATTCAGTGACAAGGAATGTGAGGGCCAAGAGTCGGCTACCTTGGGGTGGGGAGTAGTCATCTGAGTCTGTGTCGCTCTCGCTGCTGTCTTCCACCAGGAAGATGGGGTAGTTCCAGGACATGCTGAGGATGCCATCCGATTCATGCAGGAGGACATGGGCCAGCATCCTGCCATGGCAGTCCATGACGATCACCTGCCCGTCAGCCGTGCCAAACAGCACCTGTAATAAGACCAGACCTATGACCAAGTGCCAATGAGTGCTGGTGTCCCAGCAACCCTTGTGGTCTCCACTAGTAGGAAGAGGACAAAATTCACATAGAACTTTAAACAGAAAGCAGCTCAGGAACTGAGCAGTGTCACACCAACAGCAGAACAGCTGGTGACCACAGCAAGCAAAGCAGACCTCAACACAAACAACTGACAGCAGATGCTGGACGGACCTTTCCAAACAGGAGTGGAAAACCACAGCCTCACTTTTTGAGGGGGAAGTAGAGGGATTAAGACAGGAAATAGCCATTTACTTTTCTGGAAAAAGAAATAACAGAGATTCACTGCTATGGTTTTCTAAAACTCAGACATACAAGTTTCTGTTTGTCTGCACTGGTACACAGAGCTCCAGTCAAATATTACTGGATTATACCTGGAAATGCTGATGCTTCTAAAGAGACACTGTAGTGTTTGGGGTCTAATGCCTTATTCCATGAGAATAGTACCTATCACTAATTAAAGTAATGACTGCAAACACAAACATATATACCAGCTACATCTGAAATAAGCAAAATGCTAAAAGTTCAACATATTTATCTATCAAAATAATAGCTAAAAGCACCTAGTGCTGTTGGGTAAAACTTGAGGACACTGCTACTAGTACCACTGGTGTCTCAGGGGTGAGCTGGAGCTAAACACTGCAGCTGTGGGCTCAGGTGAGCTGGGTACTGGCACTGCAGCTGTGAGTTCAGCTGAGCTGGGTACTGGCACTGCAGCTGTGAGCTCAGGTGAGCTGGGTACTGGCACTGCTGCTGTGAGCTCAGGTGAGCTGGGTACTGGCACTGCTGCTGGGAGCTCAGGTGAGCTGGGTACTGGCACTGCTGCTGGGAGCTCAAGTAGTTAAGTACTGGCGCTGCAGCTGTGGGCTCAGGTGAGCTGGGTACTGGCACTGCAGCTGTGGGCTCAGGTGAGCTGGGTACTGGCGCTGCAGCTGTGGGCTCAGGTGAGCTGGGTACTGGCACTGCTGCTGTGAGCTCAGGTGAGCTGGGTACTGGCACTGCTGCTGGGAGCTCAGGTGAGCTGGGTACTGGCACTGCTGCTGGGAGCTCAAGTAGTTAAGTACTGGCGCTGCAGCTGTGGGCTCAGGTGAGCTGGGCACTAACTGCAGGTGTAGGCTCAGGTGAGCTCACACCAGGCTGGCTGATGAAGGAGGCTGCAGCTTATACAAAGGGAAATTTCTGCAAGGTATTCTATCCCTTCCTTCGGTTTGCTTTTGAGATTCGGAAGTGAAGCTCCTTGAGAACTGACCATGCCTCTCCTCTCCTCTGGGACTCAGAGGGTACTCCATCAGTATTTATTGCTAATCAACAAACTGAACTCCGTGACAATCATAAGGCAATTGTAGGACATAAATTTTAACTGGGATAGATTTGCTGTACTCAAACATGTCTACAAAAATGTGAAGTAGGAGGGAAGAGATTTTAAGAACAAATCATCTATCTATCACATATTTCCCTAAACATGATCTGCACTGTAATGAATGAATCCTACGAAAAGCCAGAACCAATTTTCCCACACAGGCAGTGAGAGATTCCTTGGTGTACACTGGTGAAAGGAAGAATAGACAAGGCTATGATGGACACAGGGAGGAGTGCTGGGGCCCGGAGCAACCGCCGAAGCCCTCTAAGACCCCAGGCCTCTCTACCCCGCCTTGTGTTTACTCATTTAATCAAGGATGTCATGAAAAGCACGTACTAGGGCACTCAGGATTCAGATAGCTTTCCTATGTGGATCCCTGTTTTCTGACTCCCCAGCTAAACTAAGCTTTGAAGGTGTGGGCTGTTACAGACTGAATGGTTACATGCTCCCCAAGTTCATACATTGATGGTATCTCAAAATTGGGGTGTCTGGGAGCTGATTTGGTGTCTCCAAGGTCATGAGGATAGGCCCCACGATGAGATGTGTGCCCTTGTAAAAGGAGGCTAAGACCTAGGCTGATACACACTCGACCCACAAGCACTGAGGAACAGTGTAGGAGCACAGGGTGAGAAAGGCAGCTGCTGCAGGCCAAGGGGAGCCCTGCCCAGGACTGAACTGGCCAGCCCCTTCACCTGGCGCTGTAACAGTCAGTCTGTCGCTTTAGCCACCTAACTGCGTGTTGCATCAGGTAACCCAAGCAGAGACCCAGGCTCTAGCAGCCCACCAGTTCTCCTGAGGATCTGATACAGCATCTGACCAATAGCAGAAAGTGCCTGAGGGAAGCAAGGAGGAGGAAGAGCTGAAGGAAAGACATGTCTTTGCATCTTCACATGGAGACACCATCTGTGTGTCATTCACATTTTACATTTTTAAGAATGAAGAGATGAGACAAAAGAACAAAGAAGGGTGCTACAATGAGTTAACAGGCATTCAGTATTACATTAAAGCAAAAGAGAGGGGAAAAACCAGCCCCATGTCCTCCACCATTAATCCTTTCCAACTGCAGTTCCCGGGAAGACTCTATTCCACCATTAAGATGGAGAACAGGCCACAGAAGGCACTGTCAGGCTGTTAAACACGACGCAGAGCTCGCTCTGTTTTGAAATAAGCACGTCAGAGACGATGGTGTCCTGCTACAACCCAGAATCAGACTTTAAAAGCTCATCGCCATCCCAAGTTCTTTCCGTATTAATCACTTCCAATGAGATAAAGCTTGGGGAGCCAAGGTCTTCAGCAGAACAAGGCAATGAACACACCTGGCAGACACAAGTCTGCTGCCTCTGCTCCCAAACTGTGGTCAAGGACTGAGCTGCTCCTTGCTGGCTGACACAGGCTGCTCCTTCCCAGGCACCAGTCCCCTCGAGGTGCCTTCTTACCCTGCTCCTCGGGCCTGGCATGTGGCCTTGGGGACCACTTCCAGACTGCCAGCCTCTCAGCCTCACTCCTGAGCCCCCAACTCACACACATCAACTGCCCTCCCACCATCTACTCCAGCTCTGCCATAGGCCCTTCAAAGTCAACAGAACAAGGTCAAATACCCAATCACATTATTCCTCTGAGAAACACGAGCAAGCAGATTCTTCCAGCAAAGACTGCCTGTGCTTGGGCTCCAACAGCCAGCACTGCAAGTGGCCTGTAACAAGTGCTCAGATGTCACCTGAGGCCTTCAAGACTCACCACATAGAAACAAGTTGGGTCTAAGAATGGTGCCCACAGTGCTGGGCTAGGCTATGGTTCTGCATGCCTGTCTTCCAGTAAACAGTGTCAAGGGCAGGTCTGCACTCAAGGGTGCTCACGGCTCTCCGTGAGTGGCTTCTCAGCGACTGGCAATAAATGAACTTTGCCTATCTTTGATCTTTCTCCAAGTTTTCCTGCAATTTAAGGAGACAAAGTTTTAAATTTTTTTTCTAAAGTTTATTTATTTGAAAGGCAGAGTGATAGTGGGGGAGCAGGACAGAGGGAAGGAAGAAGAGAGAGAGAAAATCCTTCATCTATCACTTAACTTTCCAAATGGCCACAGTGTCCACAGCTGGACCAGGCTGAAGCCAGGAACCTGAAACTCTGTCCAGGTCTCCCACGTGGTGGCACATACTGCTTTCCTAGGCGCATGAGCAGGGACATGGATAGCAACTAGAGCACCTGGGACTTAAACCAGCACTCACACGGGATGCATGCATTATGAGGTTAACCTACTGTGCTACAACACCAGTTCTTAGGAGCAAAACTTCTTTCTTCTTCAAATCAGAAAGCGATGCTCAGAAAACAAACCCTCTAAGCACTTTCAGCAATAGTTGCACATGCTTCATGCAAGGGCCAGAACAAGGCTTCCTGATTCATGCACATCAGGACCACAGAGACTGTGAGTCAACTCATACCAGCTTAGGGACTGCTTCTTTGGGTTCAGTTTACTTTCCAGCCCTGAATAAATTTAGTTAAAAGCTGTGTTTTGTTGTTGCTGCTTTGTTCTGATTTTATGTATTTATTTACTTGAAAGAATTATAGGGAAAGAGGGAGAGGAAGAGGTTGGGAAGAGGGAGGAAGATCCTTTATCCACTGGCTCACTCCCCAGATGGCTCTAACAGCCAGGGCTGGGGCAGGCCCAAGCCGGAGCTCTATCTAGGTCTCTCTCATGAGTGGCAGCGAACCAAACACTTGGGCCATCTTGCACTGATTTTGCACATCATTATCAGGAAGCTAGATCAGAAGTGGAGCAGCTGGGGCATGAATCAATGCCCATTTGGAACACTGACATCTTGGGTGGCTAAGCTTTGTGGGTCCCACAGGGTTGCTTTTTTTTTTTTAACAGCAATGTAATATAATCTCTTAATTTTACTGTATTCCATGAATAGACTATCTTCAGAAGCAATTATGTGTAAGCAAAAACAAATTTTTGTGAGTAGCATAACATGAACCAAACCACAAGGAAGGACGGAAATGATACAAGACCACTGCTGAGATGGCTGCTCTGGGGGTACTCTGCCTCTGAGTAGCAGGACTCATCCTTGTGCCTGCAAAAATACTGGAACTTTCATTATCCAAAACACATGCTGCCGTTAATGTTCACCCCTTCTGCAGTGGAAGAGCCAAAGAAGGTGACTTTTTCAAGTTTTTACAATTTAAAGCTGCGGGGAAAAATAAAAATTCCTCACAAATTCCTACTGGTCACCAGCATCACTGTGGCAAACACCTACATGGGCCATGCCATGGGGGATTGGGAAATAAAAGGAGAGCCATCACAACCCTTTCTGTCTTAAGAAAGAAAACAAAGACCTCTCTGTGGGGTGTGGAACACGGGCCCTCAAGTGTGCGTGCAGGCTGCCAAGGCCGGGTCTGAGCGTCTCCCTTCAAAGACCAGCCACGGACAGCAGAGACTTGCAAACGCCAGAACTGCTTCACTCACCAACAGAGTCCTTCCTGTGAGCATCCTCTGCCTTACTTCTTTGAAAAAAGAGATGAAATGCAATTTCATAGTTAACTGCAACAATTATTTTTAAAACTGCATCTTTGGGCTAAATGTATAATTCTGAAGTCATT